GAATGAAAGAGAGTGATAAATGGGAGAATGAAAGAGAGAGTGACAAATGAGAGGATGAAAGGGAGAGTGATAAATGAGAAAATGAAAGAGAGAGTGATAAATGAGAGAATGAAAGAGAGTGATAAATGAGAAAATGAAAGAGAGTGATAAATGAGAGAATGAAAGAGAGAATGATAAATGAGAGAATGACAGAGAGTGATATATGGGAGAATGAAAGAGAGAGTGATAAATGAGAGAATGAGAGAGAGAGATAAATGGGAGAATGAAAGAGAGAGCGATAAATGGGAGAATGAGAGAGATAGAGTTATAAATGGGAGAATGAAAGAGAGAGAGATAAATGGGAGACTAAAAGAGAGAGTGATAAATGGGAGAATGAGAGAGAGTAATAAATGGGAGAATGAGAGAGAGAGTGATAAATGGTAGAATGAGAGAGACTGATAATTGGGAGAATGAAAGAGAAAGCGATAAATGAGAGAATGAAAGAGAGAGTGATAAATGAGAGAATGAAAGAGAGAGTGATAAATAAGAGAATGAGAGAGAGAGAGTGATAAATGAGAGAATGAGAGAGAGTGATAAATGAGAGAATGAAAGAGAGAGTGATAAATGGGAGAATGAAAGAGAGAGCGATAAATGGGAGAATGAGAGAGAGAGAGTAATGAATGGGAGAACGAAAGAGAGAGTCATAAATGGGAGAATGAGAGAGAGTAATAAATGAGAGAATGAGAGAGAGTGATAAATCGGAGAATGAGAGAGAGTGATAAATGAGAGAATGAGAGAAGGTGATAAATGAGAGAATGAAAGAGAGGGTGTTAAATGAGAGAATGAGAAAGAAACTGATAAATGAGAGAATGAAAAAGAGAGTGATAAATGGGAGAATGAAAGAGAGAGTGATAAATGGGAGAACGAAAGAGAGAGTGATAAATGGGAGAATGAGAGAGAGTGATAATTGAGGGAATGAAAGAGAGGGTGATAAATGAGTGAACGAAAGAGAGAGTGATAAATGGGAGAATGAGAGAGAATGATCAATGGAAGAATGAGAGAGTGATAAATGAGAGAATGAGAGAGAGAATGATAAATGGGAGAATGAGAGCGAGTGATATATGGGAGAATGAAAGAGAGAGTGATAAATGAGAGAATGAGAGAGAGAGAGATAAATGGGAGAATGAAAGAGAGAGTGATAAATGGGAGAATGAGAGAGATAGAGTTATAAATGGGAGAATGAAAGAGAGAGAGATAAATGGGAGAATAAAAGAGAGAGTGATAAATGAGAGAATGAGAGAGAGAGTGATAAATGGGAGATTCAAAGAGAGAATGATAAACGGGAGAATGAGAGAGAGTGATAAATGAGAGAGTGAAAAAGAGAGTGATAAATGAGAGAATGAAAGAGAGAATGATAAATGGGAGAATGAGAGAGAGTGATTTATGGGAGAATGAAAGAGAGAGTGATAAATGGTAGAATGAGAGAGATAGAGTTATAAATGGGAGAATGAAAGAGAGAGAGATAAATGGGAGAATAAAAGAGAGAGTGATAAATGAGAGAATGAGAGAGAGAGTGATAAATGGGAGATTCAAAGAGAGAATGATAAACGGGAGAATGAGAGAGAGTGATAAATGAGAGAGTGAAAAAGAGAGTGATAAATGAGAGAATGAAAGAGAGAATGATAAATGGGAGAATGAGAGAGAGTGATTTATGGGAGAATGAAAGAGAGAGTGATAAATGGTAGAATGAGGGAGACTGATAATTGGGAGAATGAAAAAGAAGGTGATAAATGAGAGAATGAAAGAGAGAGTGATAAATGAGAGAACGAAAAAGAGAGAAATAAATGAGAGAATGAGAGAGAGTGATAAATGGGAGAACGAAAGAGAGAATGATAAATGGTAGAATGAGAGAGACTGATAATTGGGAGAATGAAAGAGAAAGTGATAAATGAGAGAATGAAAGAGAGGGTGATAAATGAGTGAACGAAAGAGAGAGTGATAAATGGGAGAATGACAGAGAGTGATAAATGAGAGAATGAAAGAAAGAGTGATAAATAGGAGAATGAGAGAGAGTGATAAATGAAAGAATTAGAGAGAGTGATAAATCGGAGAACGAAATAGAGAAAGATAAAAAATGAGAGGATGAAATAGAGAGTGATAAATGAAAGAATGAGAGAGAGTGATAAATGGGAGAATGAAAGAAAGAGTGATAAATGAGAGAAAGAAAGAGAGAGTGATAAATGAGGGAATGGAAGAGAAACTTCAAGCCGTAGAAGTCATTTCCGCTTTCGTTTCTTTGATAACTCCAATGTTTTTTTCCAGAATCGTACTTTGAACAGTACAAATCTATGTAAAATACGACCAGTTTTCCACCAATTTTTAACGAAATTTTCGAAATTTCAAAGTATACTTTTTCTTGTAGATTACAAGCCGCAGAAGTCATTTCCGCTTTCGTTTCTTTGATAACTCTAATGGTTTTTCCAGAATCGTACTTTGAACAGTATAAATCTATGTGAAATACGACCAATTTTCCACCTATTTTCAACGAAATTTTCGAAATTTCAAAGTATACATTTTCTTGTAGATTTCAAGCCCCAGAAATCATTTCCGCTTTCGTTTCTTTGATAACTCTAATGGTTTTTCCAGAATCGTACTTTGAACAGTACAAATCTATGTAAAATACGACCAATTTTCCACCAATTTTTAACGAAATTTTCGAAATTTCAAAGTATACTTTTTCTTGTAGATTACAAGCCGCAGAAGTCATTTCCGCTTTCGTTTCTTTGATAACTCTAATGGTTTTTCCAGAATCGTACTTTGAACAGTATAAATCTATGTGAAATACGACCAATTTTCCACCTATTTTCAACGAAATTTTCGAAATTTCAAAGTATACATTTTCTTGTAGATTTCAAGCCCCAGAAATCATTTCCGCTTTCGTTTCTTTGATAACTCTAATGGTTTTTCCAGAATCGTACTTTGAACAGTACAAATCTATGTAAAATACGACCAATTTTCCACCAATTTTCAACGAAATTTTCGAAATTTCAAAGTATACTTTTTCTTGTAGATTTCAAGCCGCAGAAGTCATTTCCGCTTTCGTTTCTTCGATAACTCCATTGGTTTTTCCAGAATCGCACTTTGAACAGTACAAATCTATGTAAAATACGACCAATTTTCCACCAATTTTCAACGAAATTTTCGAAATTTCAAAGTATACTTTTTCTTGTAGATTTCAAGCCGCAGAAGTCATTTCCGCTTTCGTTTCTTCGATAACTCCATTGGTTTTTCCAGAATCGCACTTTGAACAGTACAAATCAATGTAAAATACGACCAATTTTCCACCAATTTTCAACGAAATTTTCGAAATTTCAAAGTATACTTTTTCTTGTAGATTTCAAGCCGCAGAAGTCATTTCCGCTTTCGTTTCTTCGATAACTCCATTGGTTTTTCCAGAATCGTACTTTGAACAGTACAAATCTATGTAAAATACGACCAATTTTCCACCAATTTTCAACGAAATTTTCGAAATTTCAAAGTATACTTTTTCTTGTAAATTTCAAGCCGCAGAAGTCATTTCCGCTTTCGTTTCTTCGATAACTCGATTGGTTTTTCCAGAATCGTACTTTGAACAGTACAAATCTATGTAAAATACGACCAATTTTCCACCAATTTTCAACGAAATTTTCGAAATTTCAAAGTACACATTTTCTTGTATATTTCAAGCCGCAGAAGTCATTTCCGCTTTCGTTTCTTCGATAACTCCATTGGCATTTCCAGAACCGTACTTTGAACAGTACAAATCTATGTAAAATACGACCAATTTTCCACCAATTTTCAACGAAATTTTCGAAATTTCAAAGTATACTTTTTCTTGTAAATTTCAAGCCGCAGAAGTCATTTCCGCTTTCGTTTCTTCGATAACTCGATTGGTTTTTCCAGAATCGTACTTTGAACAGTACAAATCTATGTAAAACACGACCAATTTTCCACCAATTTTCAACGAAATTTTCGAAATTTCAAAGTATACTTTTTCTTGTAGATTTTAAGCCGCAGAAGTCATTTCCGCTTTCGTTTCTTCGATAACTCCATTGGTTTTTCCAGAATCGTACTTTGAACAGTACAAATCTATGTAAAATACGACCAATTTTCCACCAATTTTCAACGAAATTTTCGAAGTTTCAAAGTATACTTTTTCTTGTAGATTTCAAGCCGCAGAAGTCATTTCCGTTTTCGTTTCTTCGATAACTCCATTGGTTTTTCCAGAATCGTACTTTGAACAGTGCAAATCTATGTAAAATACGACCAATTTTCCACCAATTTTCAACGAAATTTTCGAAATTTCAAAGTATACTTTTTCTTGTAAATTTCAAGCCGCAGAAGTCATTTCCGCTTTCGTTTCTTCGATAACTCGATTGGTTTTTCCAGAATCGTACTTTGAACAGTGCAAATCTATGTAAAATACGACCAATTTTCCACCAATTTTCAACGAAATTTTCGAAATTTCAAAGTATACTTTTTCTTGTAGATTTCAAGCCGCAGAAGTCATTTCCGCTTTCGTTTCTTCGATAACTCCATTGGTTTTTCCAGAATCGCACTTTGAACAGTACAAATCTATGTAAAATACGACCAATTTTCCACCAATTTTCAACGAAATTATCGAAATTTCAAAGTATACTTTTTCTTGTAGATTTCAAGCCGCAGAAGTCATTTCCGCTTTCGTTTCTTCGATAACTCCATTGGTTTTTCCAGAATCGTACTTTGAACAGTACAAATCTATGTAAAATACGACCAATTTTCCACCAATTTTCAACGAAATTTTCGAAATTTCAAAGTATACTTTTTCTTATAGGGCAATGGAAAAATTGAACAATTAAAAAATCAAAAACTGAAAAATTGAAAAATCAAGCCATTAAAAAAATTGAACAATTGACATTTCTGACTTTCCATTTTTAAATAATCGAGTTTTTTTCAATTTCATTTATTAGTTGAACGCAAACGCTGAAATAACACCCCACTACGTCTTTAAAATTCATATATTTTATAAAAAGTACATGCTTTCGATATAAAATTGCCTACTCCTATCTATACAAACAAATGACGTTTGACGGCACTGTGATGACTCATATCACTCAATAAAAACAGGACTAATCCTCATAAATCTCCTACTCGCACTACACCTAACCTACACTCAACGTTTTGGCAATGGAATAATTATTGCACCAAGTATCACAAAATTCACTCTGAGCATCTCGGCCTCCTCGCTTTCGCCTCGTTCCTCAACCCGAGCCACCGGGAACCACATCAAACCAACATCCATCTCAAATGTCGATCTCCTCTACGCCATCCAAGTCCAGCAGAGTATACGTGTCTCGCTTTATCAGCTTGGGTCTCGCCACCGCAATATAGCCGCTACTCCGCCTCCTCAGCGACTTCATACTGATCTCTATGGTCTCTTTCGTAAAGACCAGCGACTTGTACCCGTTGATGAACACCCCGACCAGGATGCACCCCCCCAGAAAAATGAACCCGTACGTCATGAGAGGGCACGCCACGTCGGCGAACGTCGTGGCCAGATAAATCCAGCGTCTGATTGGCGGCGGCAAGTCGTCTATCCCCTCCTCGATCCACATGATTGGGTAAATTATGCTGGGGAACTTGGCGACGGGGGTCACGTGACGCGCTTGGTCCACCTTGAGGTTGAGCTGGAGGCGGACCTTAGCCTCGATTGGCACGCCCAATCTCTGAAACGCAGTGTTGCCAACACGAGCTCTCAATCGCAGCCTACTTGGTACTTACGGGTTGGATTTTTAAGTAGGAGCTGTGTTTTTCCTTGACGGGCTGGAGGCCCTCGAAGTGCTCGATCAGCGCAGGGTCGGCCTCCATGAAGTGTGGGTAGGAGAGATATACAGGGGCGTCTGCAAGAAATTGTTATAGGGGGGTTAAATTTTTGGAAAAAGGGCGTACCGAATTGGCAAGGGCTGATGCTTTGGAGGCCCTTTGGAGGGCAGAAATCGTTGCCTGGGCAGTAGCATTTGTTGTCGGGTTCTTGGTCCACCGTTTCGAACATGGAGGCGGCGGGGGTGTACAAGTCCGCACTGATTCCTGGAATTTTGAAAAAAATTGTTATTAGGATTTGAATATTTATCGGATTTATATAATATGGGTTTTTTTTGGTTTATCAACCTATAAGACAACTTTAAAGGTCATTTTCCGTCTTTACGTAACATGCGATCGAAAAAAGTCGTCTAGAAGGCCATGAATTTTTTTTAAATTTATTTTATTTTATTTTGACCGAACTTGCCTCAAATGTGAAGTGCAGCCGAAGAAATACCGCTGCTCCGAAAAATTAAAAATCAAAAAATCGGAAATGTAAAAAATCGAAAAATTGAAATAACCAGAAATCGAAGAAAAGAAAAATCTGAAAACTGAAAAATAAATAAAAAACGAGAAATGGAAACATTAAAAAAAACTTGGAAAATTGGAAAATTGAAAAATTTGAACATCCGAAAAACTGGAAAATCAAAAAATCGAATAACCGAAAAATCAAAAATCGGAACATCGAAATATTGAAAAATTGAAATATTCAGAAATCGAAATCCCGAAAAATCTGAAAACTGAAAAATAAAAAAAATAAATTGAGAAATCGAACAATTTTAAAATTAAAAAATCGAAAATGAAGAACCGTAAAATTGAAAAAACGGGAAACTGAAAAGTCCCCAAACTGAAAAGTTGAAAAATTGGAAAATTCGAAAATTGAAAATTCGAAACATTGAAAAATTGTAAAATAGAAAATCCGTATGTCGAAATGTGGAAAAGCTGAAAAATCAAAAAACTGAAACATCGAGAAACCAAAAAATCTGAAAACTGAAAAGTAAATAAAAAACAAGATATCGAAAATTCTAAAATTTAAAAAATCGAAAAATTGAAAAATCAAAAACTTGGGAAATTGGAAAATTGAAAAATCCAGACAACCAAAAAATTGGAAAATCAAAAAGAGAAATAAATGAGAGAATGAGAGAGAGAGAGGAAGAGAGAGAGAGAGAGGAAGAGAGAGAGAGAGAGAGAGATAAATGGGAGAATAACAGAGACAGAGAGATAAACGGGAGAATGAGAGAGAGAGAGAGAGAGAGAGAGAGATATATAAATTGCAGAATGAGCGAGAGATAAATGAGAGAATGAGAGAGATAAAAAGGAGAATAAGAGGGAGAGAGATAAACGGGAGAATGAGAGAGAAGGAGATATAAATTGCAGAATGAGCGAGAGATAAATGGGAGAATGAGAGAGAGATAAATGGGAGAGTGAGAAAGAGAGTGATAAATGGGAGAATGGGAGAGAGGGAGATATAGATTGGAGAATGAGCGGGAGATAAATGGGAAAATCAGAGTGAAATAAATGGGAGAATAAGAGGGAGGGAGATAAATAGGAGAATGAGAGAGAGCGAGAGAGAGAGAGGTAAACAGAAGAATGAGAGAGAGGGAGATATAAATTGCAGAATGAGCGAGAGATAAATGGGAGAATGAGAGAGAGATAAATGGGAGAGTGCGAAAGAGAGAGATAAATGGGAGAATGGGAGAGAGGGAGATATAAATTGGAGAATGAGCGAGATATAAATGGGAAAATGAGAGTGAGATAAATGGGAGAATAAGAGGGAGGGAGATAAATAGGAGAATGAGGAAGAGAGAGAGAGAGAGAGAGAGAGAGAGAGAGAGAGAGAGATAAACGAGAGAATGAGATATAAATTGCAGAATGAGTGAGAGATAAATGGGAGAATGAGAGAGAGATAAATGGAAGAATGAGAAGGAGAGAGATAAATGGAAGAATGAGAAAGAGAGAGATAAATGAAAAAATGGGAGAGAGAGAGAGAGAGAGATAAATAGAAGAATGAGACCGAGAGAGATAAATGGGGGAATGAGGTAGAGAGATAAATGGGAGACTGAGAGAGAGAAAGAGAGAAAACGGGAGAATGAGAGAGAGGGAGATATAAATTGCAGAATTAGCGAGAGATAAATGGGAGAATGAGAGAGAGATAAATGGGAGAGTGCGAAAGAGAGAGATAAATGGGAGAATGGGGGAGAGGGAGATATAATTGGAGAATAAGAGGGAGGGAGATAAATAGGAGAATGAGAAAGAGAGAGAGAGAGATAAACGAAAGAATGAGATATAAATTGCAGAATGAGTGAGAGATAAATGGGAGAATGGGAGAGAGAGCGAGATAAATAGGAGAATGAGACCGAGAGAGATAAATGGGGGAATGAGGTAGAAGATAAATAGAAGAATGAGAAAGAGAGAGACAAATGGGAGAATGGGAGAGAGAGAGAGATAAATAGAAGAATGAGACCGAGAGTGATAAATGGGGGAATGAGGTAGAGAGATAAATGGGAGACTGAGAGAGAGAGAGAGAATATGGGAGAATGCGAAAGAGGGAGATAAATGGGAGAATGGGAGAGAGGGAGATATAAATTGGAGAGATGAGTGAGAGATAAATGGGAGAATGAGAGAGAGATAAATGGAAGAATGAGAAGGAGAGAGATAAATGGGAGAATGGGAGAGAGAGAGAGATAAATAGGAGAATGAGACAGAGAGAGATAAATTGGGGAATGAGGTAGAGAGATAAATAGAAGAATAAGACCGAGAGAGATAAATGGAGGAATGAGGTACAGAGATAAATGGAAGAATGAGGGAGAGAGAGAGAGAGAGAGATAAACGGGAGAATGAGAGAGAGGGAGATATAAATTGAAGAATAAGCGAGAGATAAATGGGACAATGAGAGAGAGATAAATGGGAGAATAAGAGGGAGGGAGATAAACGAGAGATTGGGAGAGAGAGAGAGAGAGAGAGAGAGGGAGAGAATGAGAGAATGAGAGAGAGGACAAAAAGAGAGAAAGAGAATGAGAGAGATAAATAGAAGAATTAGAGCGAGAGAGATAAATGGAGGAATGAGATAGAGAGATAAATGGGAGAATGAGAGAGAGAGAGAGAGAGAGAGACGGGAGAATGAGAGAGAGGGAGATATAAATTGGAGAATAAGAGGGAGAAAGATAAATGGGAGAATGAGAGAGAAACAAATGGGAGAATGAGAAAGAGATAAATGGGGAATGAGAGAGAGAGAGAGGTAAATGGGAGAATGAGAGAGTGTGAGATAAATTGAAGAATGAAAAAGAGAGAGAGAGAGAGAAATGCGAGAATGAGGGAGAGAGTGATATAAGTGGGAGAATCGGAAAATTAAAAAAAAATGAGAAATCGGGAAATCGAAAAATCTAAAATTAAAAAATTTGAAAAACTGGTAAGTCGAAAAATTGGGGAATTGGAAAATTGAAAATTCAAAACATTGAAAAATTGTAAAATCAAAAAATCCATATGTCGAAATATGGAAAAGCTGGAAAATCAAAAAATCGAAACATTGAAAAACCAAAAAATTGAAAAACTGAAAAGTCGAAAAATTGGAAAACCAAAAATCTAAAAGTCGAAAAGTCGAAAAATCGAAACATGGAAACAGGAATTATAAAACCGGGAAGTCGAAAAACCGAAAAATCGAGAAGTCGAAGTAATATAAAACCGAAAAATTGAAAATTGAAAAATTGGAAAATGTAAATTAAAAAAAAGTCATAACACCGAAATCTCGATAAATCCAGAAATCCAAAAATAAAAAAACAAGAAAATGAAAATTTTGAAAAATTGAGAAATCGAATAATCGAAAAATTGAAATATCAAAATCTCGATAAATCCAGAAATTGAAAAATTCAAAAATCGAATAATCAAAAGTTTTAAAAATCGAAAACCTGAAAAATCTAAAATTTAAAAATTCCAAAAATTGAAAAATCGAGAAATTGGAACACCAAAATATTGAAAAACTGAAAAATCAAAAAGTCCTAACAATCGAAAAATTGAAACATTGAAAAAATCGAAAAATCGGAAAATCAAAAAATCTAAAATTTAAAAATTGTTGCTTACATTCAATAAGTAAAAATGCCCTCTCAGCAATAACAACAACTTGAAGTGTTTATGTTTATACATCGGAGTAAAAATGCTTACCGTGTTTGACCACCGGCTCCCTGTACTGCAAGGGCATGACCCTACAAAGGTCCTTATCATACACGTGCACAACATCCGCCTTCGTGTAGTACCTAGGTGGAAAAAACGACCCTTCGCTTGCTCTGATCATATTACACGGCGACTCCTTCCAATATGGCAGCCGATCAGCGCCATTAAGCTTCTCCAAAAGCCCAAAATCCTGCATCCCTGTCATCCCAGTATATATATTATGAACTTCATTCAAAGTACCATTCCTCTGAAACCCAACTTTCATTCCCGTTTCCACGAACACCCAAACTACTCACATTTATAAGAAGCCCCATCCTCGACATCGGTCTTTTTCGCTTCGGGTAAAAGCTGTGCGCGAGACTGACAAGAGTGTCGTCATAGCCAAAAACGAGCTCGTCAGCGGTCACGGTAACGAAGGGCTTGTAGTCCTTCAAGTTGAGCAAGAAAGAGATGGTCCTTTGGACGAGGTAGCTCATGGAGTTGGACTGAGTGGACAAAGTCTGCAACCAAAAACGTCAAACCGATTGGACAAAAAAAAAACGCGATCTTTTACCAGAAGAGGGATATTTGGCACTGTGATTTTTTGGTCTTTGTTGACGGAGAGTTCAGGTACAAATTGGAGGATTTTCTTGTGCTGGTAGGTGACGGTCCCGTTGTCGTGGAATTTTATGTTCACTTTTTCCATGTCTTCTCTGAAAGGAAAGGTCGCAATTATCACCAGTTAGTGACAAATGGGAGAATAAAAGTCACTTTTACTAGTTGCGGTTGCTTAAGTGGGTCAAAAGTTAAACAATACTTAGATTTGTTTATTTGGCGCGTGATCTATGACTGAGTCTGTTGGTAGCACTTTTTAAATGAAAATGTGAACTTTATTGCGTTTATGTTGGTATAACTGACTGTAATAAATTTAGGTTATGTTTTGGATGCATTGTGCGAATTTAAAAATGTCCAGTCATGACAGGTGACAACCGGAAATTATAGAAAACTAAATTAACTAAAAATCCAGGATTGCCAACAGACTCGGTCATTTCCGATCACACAAAATAATACAACAATTAATATGTATATTAGGGTTTTATTTATAATACTGAAATAAAATTTGTTTTCAAGATTGGTAGAAATGACAAATAAAAAAATAAATAAAAAATCCAAAAATTAAAAGTAGAAGTCGAAAAATCCAAAATTTAAAAAAATGGATAGATTGAAAAATCGGAAAATTGAATCGCGAAATCGAACAAATGAAAAATCGGAATATAGAAGAGAAGTTGGAAAATCAAAAAATTGAAAATCTGAAAAAGATGGAAAAATTGAGAAATCGAAAAGTCCAGAAGTCGAAAATTCTAAATATTGGGTAATCGAAATAGCCAAAAATTGAAAACTCGAAAAGTTACAAATTGAAACAGAAAAATATTTGAGATTAAAAAACCGAAAAATTGAAAAATCTAAAATTTAAGAATAGAAAATTGAATAATCAAAAAAGTAGAAAAATGAAAGAATCAAAATTTTGAAAAATTCTAAAACTGACATCAAAAATTGAGTAAAAACACAAAAATCAAAAAACGATTACTTGGGAAACTGAGAAATCAAAAAATCGAAAATTTAGAAACATCAAAAAATTGAAAAATTGAGGAATTGAAAAACTTGAAATCCGAAAACTAGAAATTGAAAAATTGGAAAATTTAGAATCGTCAAAAACTGAAAAATAGAAGTATCTAAGAACTGAAAAATTTAGTCATCGAAAAATCTAAAATTTTAAAAATTAAAAATAAAAATATTAAAAAATTGAAAAATCGAGAAGTCGAAACATCAAAAAATCGAAAAAATGAAGAATCAAAATTTTCACAAAAATTCCAAACGTCAAATATCAAAAATTGAGAAATTGAAAGATCGAGAAATCAGAAAGTCGGAAAAATCAAAAAATAGATTTGTCGAAAAATTGGGAAATCAAAAAATCTAAAAATTGAAAAATTTAAAATTCAAAAACGAAAAACGATAAAATCGAAAAGTCAAAAAACAGAAAAATTAAAGAATCAAACAACAGAAGTATCGAAGAACTGAAAAATTGAGAAATCGAAAAATCTAAAATTTTAAAACTTAAAAATTAAGATATTAAAAAATTGAAAAATCGAGAAGTAGAAACCTCAAAAAATTGAAAACTTGAAAAATCGAATCAAAAAAAAAACAAAAAATTGAAATATCTAAAAAGTAAAAATTCGAGAAAACCAAAAATTGAAGAATCTTAAAATACGAATATCAAATTTTGAGAAATTAAAAACTTGAAACATCGAGAAATCGAAAAGTCGTAAAACCAAAAAATCGATTAGTCGAGAAATTGAGAAATCGAAAAATCGAAAATTTAGAATTGTCAAAAATTGGAAAGTTCAAAAATTAAAAATCTAAAAACTGGGAAATTGGAAAATTTTAAATTCAAAAAACGAAAAATTAAATAAGCGGTAAAGTAAAAAATCGAAAAGTTGAAAAACGGAAAAAATAAAGAATTGAAATACTGAAAAACCCCAAAACTGAAATACGGAAAAATTGAGAAATCGGAAAATTCAATAATCGATAAATTAAAAAGTTGAAAAACCAAAAGATCGATTAATTCTGAAATGGAGAAATGGAAAAATTGGAAATTTAGAAACGTCAAAAATTACAAAATCGAAAAATTGACGAATAGAAATTTTGAAAAATCCCAAAACAATATTTAAAAAACGAAGTATTGAAATTACTAAAAGTTAAGAATTGAAAAAAAGAATAATCAAAAAAATAAAAATTCGAAAATCGAAAAGTCAAAAAATTGAAGAAGCAAAATTGTGAAAAATCCAAAAACTGAAATATCAAAAATTGACTGAAAGTCGAATACTCAAAAAATCGATTTTTCGAGAAACTGAAAAATCGAAATATTGATTACTCGAGAAATTGAGAAATCCAAACATTTTAAATTTTACACTTTCCAAATTTTCAACTTGAATTGTTTTCCATTTTCAATCAAAAAATCGAAAAAATGAGTAAAATTGAGAATTAAAAAATGAAAAATTCGAGAAATCAAAAAATGGAAAAGTCGGAAAATTGAAGAATAAAAATTTTGAAAAATCCTAAAATATCAAAAATTGAGAAATTCAAAAATTGAAAAGTCGAAAAATCAAAAAATTGGTTACTTGAGAAATCGGAAAAATAAAAATTTAGAATCGTCAAAAATTGAAAAATCGGGAAAGTAAAAAGTCGAAAAACGGAAAAATTCATTCGAAAATCGAAAGATTGAAAAATCCCAAAACTGAAATATAAAAAAATTGAGAAATCGAAAAAAAAAAATCAAAAAATTCGAGAAATCGAAAGATCGAATAATTAAAGGATCAAATTTCTGAAAAATCTTAAAATATCAAAAAATTAAAAATTGAAAAATTGGAAAATCGAGAAATCGAACAGTCGAAAAATCAAAAATCGATGAGTCGAGAAATCGAAAATTCGAAAATTTATAATCGTCAAAAATTGAAAAATTGAAAATGTTTAAATTCAAAAAACGAGAAATTAAAAATCAGAAAATAAAAAATCGAAAAGCCGAAAAAAGGAAAAATTAAAGAATCGAAATATTGAAAAATCCCAAAACTGAAATATCAAAAAATTTAGCAATCCAAGAAAAATTGATGAATCGAAAAATTGAATAATCAAAATTTTGAAAAATCTTAAAATATCAAAAATTGAAAAATCGAGAATTTAGAGACGCCAAAAATTGAAAAATTAAAGTATCAAAAAATTTGGAAATCAAAGAAAAACTGAAAACTGGAAAAATTGAAAAATCTCAAAAATTTTAATTTAGATTTTCCAAATTTTCAATTCATCACTCATTTTTTTTTCAATTTCAATCGAAAAATTGAAATTTCGAAAAACGTAAAAATCGAAAAAATTAAAAATCGAGAAATCGAAACTTCAGAAATCGAAAAATTGGAGAATCTAAAATTTAAGAATTGGAAAATTGGATATTCAAAAAGTAAAAATACGAGAATTCGAAAAATCAAAAAGTCGAAAAATTGAAGATTCAAAATTTTGAAAGATCCTAAAATATCAAAAATTGAGAAATTGAAAAAGAGAGAAGTAGAAAAGTCGAAAAATAAAAAAATCGAGTATTCGAAAAGTCAAAAAATGAAAAAATTGAAGAATAGAAATAATGGAAAATTGAACAATCGAGGAATCGAAAAATCGAAAATTTAGAAACGTCAAAAATTAAAAAATTTAGAATAAAAAAACGAAAAAGTGAAAAATCAAAAAAATAAAAAATCGGGAAATCGATAAATCAAAAATGAAAAAACTGAAAATCGAAATACTGAAAAATTCTAAAACTGAAAAATTGGGAATTCGAAAAGTCGAAAAACCAAAAATCGATGAATGGAGAAATTGATAAATCGAAAAATCAAAAATTTACAAAAAAAATGTCAAAAAGTGAAAAATAAGAAAATCGAAAAATTGAAGAACATCACAAAATTGCGAAATTTGAAAAATTGAAAAATTAAGAAATCGAAACATCAAAAATCGAAGAATTGGAAAATCTAAAATTTAAGATTCGTAAAATTGGATAATCAAAAAGTATAAATTCGAGAATCCAAAAAATCAAAAAGTCGAAAAATTGAAGAGTCAAAATTTTGAAAGATCCTAAAATATCAAAAATTGAGAAATTGAAAAAGAGAGAAGTAGAAAAGACGAAAAATCAAAAAATCGAGTATTCGAAAAGTCAAAAAATGGAAAAATTGAATCGAAATAATGAAAAATTGAACAATCGAGGAATCGAAAATTCGAAAATTTAGAAACTTCAAAAATTGAAAAATTTAGAATAAAAAAAGAAAAAGTAAAAAATCAAAAAAATAAAAATCGGGAAATCGATAAGTCAAAAATGGAAAAACTGAAAATCGAAATATTGAATAATCCTAAAACTGAAAAATTGGGAAATCGAAAAGTCGAAAAACCAAAAATCGATGAATGGAGAAATTGATAAATCGAAAAATCAAAAATTTACAAAAAAAATGTCAAAAAGTGAAAAATAAGAAAATCGAAAAATTGAAGAACATCACAAAATTGCGAAATTTGAAAAATTGAAAAATTAAGAAATCGAAACATCAAAAATCGAAGAATTGGAAAATCTAAAATTTAAGATTCGTAAAATTGGATAATCAAAAAGTATAAATTCGAGAATCCAAAAAATCAAAAAGTCGAAAAATTGAAGAGTCAAAATTTTGAAAGATCCTAAAATATCAAAAATTGAGAAATTGAAAAAGAGAGAAGTAGAAAAGACGAAAAATCAAAAAATCGAGTATTCGAAAAGTCAAAAAATGGAAAAATTGAAGAATCGAAATAATGAAAAATTGAACAACCGAGGAATCGAAAAATCGAAAATTTAGAAACTTCAAAAATTGAAAAATTTAGAATAAAAAAAGAAAAAGTGAAAAATCAAAAAAATAAAAATCGGGAAATCGATAAGTCGAGAATGGAAAAACTGAAAATCGAAATATTGAAAAATCCTAAAACTGAAAAATTGGGAAATCGAAAAGTCGAAAAACCAAAAATCGATGAATGGAGAAATTGATAAATCGAAAAATCAAAAATTTACAAAAAAATGTCAAAAAGTCAAAAATAAGAAAATCGAAAAATTGAAGAACATCGCAAAATTGCGAAATTGAAAAATTGAAAAATTAAGAAATCG